CCAGCTCTCTCCCTCTCCCAGAGCTCTGTTAGATTCTCTGACAGAATCTAACCCAACAGATACCGCCTCCCCCCCGCGCCCCCCCCCGCCCCCTCCACCACCGCGTACTGCCTAGTAACCTGATGATTGCCGCCCCCCCACCTCCAGAGAGATCCCACTGGATCCCGCCCCCTCCCCCTGAAGAGGCCTCACCCTCCCTCCCAGGCTGAGCTCTCTTCTCCTTGGGACCCCCAGCATGGCTGAGGGAAGCTACCGCATGGAATCGGAAACCTACAACGTTGAAGACATGGACGAGGGTAGTGATGAAGTCGGGGAGGAGGAGATGGTTGAAGGAAACGACTATGAAGAATTCGGTGCTTTTGGAGGCTACGGCACCCTCACCAGCTTTGACATCCGTATCCTCAGAGCCTTTGGGAGCTTGGGTCCAGGCCTTCGCATCTTATCGGTGAGGCCCCTGGTGGGCCACCTGCTGGCCCTGGGCCTTCTCCCCCTCCCCGCCCAAGCTGCTGGGGAGGGGGGTGGGGTGGTGGATGAAAGGGAGGGTTGAGGGGGAAGGACTGCCCAGCTTCCCCAGCCTTCCCTCTCCTGCTCCGAGAAAGGGGGCTTGGGAAGGTCTGGGGGGTGGTGGGAGCTGGCTGCAGGGAGGAGGCTGGCCAGCACAGGAAAGCATGATGGGAGCACGGAGAGCTGTCTGCCTTCCCCTACCCTTCTCTCTGGCCTTACAGAATGAGCCCTGGGAACTGGAAAACCCTATGCTGGCTAGGACTCTGATGGAGGCATTTCAGCTGGATCCAGAGACACTTGCCAATGAGGCTGCCGCCCGTGCCGCCAACGTAGCCCGCGCGGCCGCCTCCAACCGTGCTGCTAGGGCCGCCGCTGCTGCCGCCCGTGCGACCTATAATCAGGTGGTCGCTCACCGCCCGGTGGCCACAGACCCAGCTTCAGGAGAAGCTACCCAGCCCGTGACCTCTGCGGCCCAGGCTCAGGCAGCCGCCCCTGAGACAACCCGTGCTGCTCCGCACGTCTCCCAGATGCTAGTCAACAGTGAGGTGGCCGCCCCGGGGGCTCCGGCAACGTCCACAAAGCCCCAGACGGCCTCCCAGGCCCAGGAGGCCGCTACCGAGGGCCCTAGTACTGCCTGTGCTTTCGCTCAGGCTCCCTGTGCTAGTGAGATGGATGCCACCCGGCCCAAGACAGCCTTCCTGGGTCAGAACGATGTCTTTGATTTCACCCAGCCGGCAGGTGTCAGTGGCATGGCCTTCCCACGCCCCAAGAGACCTGCCCCAGCCCAAGAGGCTGCCCCAGAGGGCCCCAGTGCTGCCTCCTCGGGGGTGCCCCCGGCAGCACCTGCTAGGGAAGGGGCAGCCACCCGGCCCAAGACGACCAAGTCCGGAAAGGCTCTGGCCAAGACTCGGTGGGTGGAGCCTCAGAATGTTGTGGCAGCCCCTGCCACCAAGGCCAAGATGGCCCCGAGCGTCCCTGAGCCCGAGGGTGCAGCTGCCACCGCTCAGCACAGTGCTGAGCCCTGGGTCAGGATGGGAGGCAAGAGGACCAAGAAGGTGAGACCTCCCTGCTGTCTCCAGCCCCCCCTTGCTCCCCTCCGTTCTCTGCTCAGTCCTCTTCTCTGCCCCCTCCCCTCCTGCCCCCCTCCCCGCTCCCCCTTGTCTCAGCTTGTGCATGTTTGTCCAGCACAGTGCAGTAGTGTGCTCTGACTGCACAAAGTCTCTGCCCTCAGGCCTGGAGGGAGAAGAGGTTGGCTCAGTGCCGGGCACGTAGTAAGCACTCAGCACACGTCATCTGCTGTTTGTACTACTTGATTTCCAAGTACCTGCTCTGGTTAAGATGTGTGCAGGGCACTTTTGCATGGCCAGCCTGGTAGCCCTGGGTCTCTCCTCTCTCTCACGCTATAGTCCAAGCACCTGGATGACGAATATGAGAGCAGCGAGGAGGAGAGAGAGCCTCCTGCGGTCCCACAGACCTGGAGAGCATCGCAGCCCCCATTGACGGTGCGGGCTCAGGTGGCTCCCCGGCCCCCAATGGCCCTGAGGTCCCAGGTACCCTCAAGACACGTACTGTGCTTGCCACCCCGGAACGTGACCCTTCTGCAAGAGAGGGTAAGAAACCTGCCTTTCCCCCCCCCCCATCTCCCTCCTCTCCTCTCCTGTGGGCCAGTTCTTGGAGGTCACCCGTGTCTTGATCTCCCTGTGTGCTCCTCCTTCTCCAGGCGAATAAGTTGGTGAAATATCTGATGATTAAGGACTACAAGAAGATCCCCATCAAGCGCTCAGGTGGGCAACCTGGGCCCCGTCCCCGAGCTCTGCCCTTCCACTGTCCCGTCCAGCATCAGCTGTCTCCACCGAGCACACCCAGCTGATCGCTCCATTTGCACAGTATGGGTCAGGGAGGGGGTCCCGACGGTGCTCCCCTCAGCAGGGCTGACGGAGGGGCTGCTGCAGCTCTTTGGCCCCTGCTCAGCCCAGGTGCTCTCTCCACCTCTCTCGCCTCTTGCAGACATGATGAAGGACGTCATCCGAGAATACGACGAACATTTCCCTGAGATCATTGAACGAGCAACATATACTCTGGAGAAGGTGGGCGAGTGCCCGGGCAGCTCACTGTGGTACAAGAGCTGCAGGGAAGCCTTGAGCCCTGCAGCCCCTTGAGGCCCCCTTTCAGTACTACCTGCTCCGGGAAGGCTTCCCCAGCTTCTCCTCCCGGGAGCGTCCACTGCATACTTGCTTCCCCGGAGGGTTCCTCTCCCTCAGATTCTTTCAGTGTCCCTGCTCTCCTGAAGTGGGTCCTACTGCTTTGGCCAGTGCCAGAGCTCCCACAGGGCAGTCCCTCTGCAGCCTCTCTTCTCGAGCCTTCCCCATAACTTCAGCGACCCTGGTGAGGGAAAGTTCTAACGGGGAACTGAGGGACTGCCTGCAGGACAGGCAGTGTGGGTTTCTGCTCTCATGTTGTTTCCTACCCCACGTAGAAGTTTGGGATCCATCTGAAGGAAATTGACAAGGAAGAACACCTGTACATTCTTGTGTGCACACGGGATTCCTCAGCTCGCCTCCTGGGAAAGTAAGAAAGGGCAGGAGGGTTGTGGCCTTCCTCACTGGTGCCTCCCCCTCCCCGTCCCCTCAGAGAAACGGGAAAACAGGGCTTTGGTGCCTGGCACAGCTCCCACCCACAGGTAGTGGTGCCCAGTAATTAGGGGATGAAAGGGGAAGTGGCCTGGGGTGAAGCCTTGCTGCTCTCAGGACCCCCCACGTCCACCCCCCCTCCCCCCGCTGCCACCTCCCCGCCCCATCTTCCTAGGAAAGCAGGCTCCTTGTTGCCTGCCTCTTCCTGCTACGCGCTTGGCCTGGGCTTGGCAGAGTGATCCGGGGGGAAGGAAGCTTCCCATCCAGTGTAACTCCGGACGCTCAAAGGGCAGGGAAGGTCTGGATGTGCCTCTGGACACACTGTTGCCAAGTGGTGGCTCCCCGCCTGACCCCATCCTGGACGGAACTCTGGGAGGGAGTGTTCGCATCCACGTTTGAGGCGTGAAGCGGTTCAGTCTCAGACAGAGGAATGAATGGTCTGGATGAGAGAGCAAGCCATATGTTGAGTGGGAAGAATGGCCCGGTAGCCCAGCCATCCGGGAAGAGCTAGTTGGGTGAGCCAGCCCTAGTCCCTCGGGCAAATGGCTGCTGGACAGGATCCCTCTTTCTACACCTTCAGGACCAAGGACACTCCCAGGCTGAGCCTCCTCTTGGTGATTCTAGGAGTCATTTTCATGAATGGCAACCGTGCCAGCGAGGGTGAGTGGCTGGACCCACAGCTGGGGGGTTGCCCACAGTCCCAGCTTTGTGTGCTGAATACCTGTGGCTCTTCTCCCCTCACAGCTGTCCTCTGGGAGGCACTACGCAAGATGGGACTGCGCCCTGGGTATGATTGGGCTCTCGGCTCCCGCCCCTTGGTGTTGTCCTTGGGCCCCGGTGGCCCCGGGGTGGGATTAGCCTGAGGGCCTGGTGCAGGGGAGTGGACCTCCTGGCCTGGGTAGAGCGCAGAGGGTCCCGCTGGGGTGCATGGGGAAATGGTCCCAAACTCTCAGCCCGTCTCTGCTCCATGTCCCCTCTCTGTCCCCAGATGGGACCCAAGAGAACCCATCAGAATTAGGGGTTCCGATCACACCCTTGCCTAGGGCATCCCTGACATGTGGCCCTGTGGCCCCTGCTGCCACCCCAGGCCTCCATGGCGATGCGCTGCCCCCCCCCCCCCGACACACACACAGACTTGGAAGCTGTCCATCCTGCTAGGGAGTGCTCCTGCCCACCTCCGGGCACCGCCCCTGTGTGTAGTCATGGATTCCTTTCCTGGCCCTCAGGGTGAGGCACCCATTCCTTGGAGACCTGAGGAAGCTCATTACGGAGGACTTCGTGAAGCAGAAGTAAGTAGTGGCCAAGTTAACTTCGTCTCACACTCGTGCACTCCTCGTGGGCTGATGTGGCTGAGCAAGCCATTCCCTGTGCCAGATCTTAGAGCCAGAGGGATAGGTGTCTCTGGTGTGAGGGTGGGCGGGGTATGTGAGTGTTGGCAGGGAGTGGAATTCCAGCGCAGCCTTGGGCAAAGGGAGTCGAAGTCGGCAGAGGACACGGCGCAAGGTGTATTAGAACCACCGTGCCATTTGGTACCCGCCCTGTGGGCGGCTGGCGAATGTCTCCTGCTTTACATCCTGGGAACCTGGGGCTCGGAGAGTAGAAGTCTTGAGTTTGGCCCCAGCTGGTAAGGGGCCCATTTGGTCCTGGAGCCCAGGCCTCCTAACTTTCCGGTCAGGCCCACCCTGTCCTCGGTCCTCACACAGGCGTGCACTCACACAGGCACAACAGACTGGCCCAGACACGCGCATGCGCACACACGCAGAGTGGGGAGTACGCACGGAGTGTGCCGCTTTTCCCCCCTTTACGATCCTCTTCTATGGCGGACTGTCCCAGGGTTCCACCAGGCCGTGGATGGGAGCCTGCGATGGAGTGTGCTCATAGCAGAGGGCCTGAAGCAATGGCTCCTGGGTTTACAACACACCCGAGGGGCATCTGGGTTCATTGTGACAAAGGGCGTGAAACTTGTGGCCTTCCTACGAACAGTTACCCGACACGTGTCCCACCCCGCACCTCCACGTGGCTTCTTCTGGGCAGGACCAGCGAGCGGCCTGGGGCTTTGTAGGCCTCAGTCCTGGAGGCAGAAACCCTGGGAGTGAGCGTGGGAGTGAGGCATGGGCCGGAGGGCCGGAGGGCCAGGACAGTCCTCCCGCAGGAGCTGGGCTGCAGTATTGGGACTGGGAAGGGCCTACCCGGGAGCCCTTGGTGCGACGACAGTTCTGCCTGGCTGGAAGCAAATGTTTCTCTTCCTCTTGCACTGAGGTACCTGGAATACAAGAAGATCCCCAACAGCAGCCCACCCGAGTATGAATTCCTCTGGGGCCTGCGAGCCCGCCACGAGACCAGCAAGATGAGGGTGCTGAGATTCATCGCCCAGGTAACAGGGGAGCCTCTGTTTGGGGCCAGGCAGTGTGGTGTGAGTTTGGTGCTTGTCATACCCTCTCTGTTTCTTGGCTACGGCCTCCCCCTCAGGCTGTTGGTCCAGTGAGGATCCAGACAGGTTCCTAAGTAGGTCACTTGCCCAAGTTCACAAGTGCAGTAAGTGTGAGGGATGGGGTGAGGCCCCAGGGCTGGCACGGAGTCATAGGAGAGTCGGATTCCAGTGGCCTCGACTTGCCTCGTGACCATGCCCAGCCCACGGGAGGGTGTATGGCAGGAAGCAGGTGCTCAGTGAATGTGGGGTAGCTGTGCGGATGGTGTCTGTTACTCCACTGCAGAATCAGAACCGAGACCCCCGGGAATGGAAGGCTCATTTCTTGGAGGCTGTGGATGATGCTTTCAAGACGATGGATGTGGATATGGCTGAGGAACATGCCAGGGCCCAGATGAGAGCCCAGATGAACATCGGGGATGAAGCTCTGATTGGACGCTGGAGCTGGGATGACATACAGGTGGAGCTCCTGACCTGGGATGAGGATGGAGATTTTGGCGACGCCTGGGCCAGGATCCCCTTCGCTTTCTGGGCCAGATACCATCAGTACATTCTGAATAGCAACCGTGCCAACCGGAGAGCCACGTGGAGAGCTGGCGTCAGCAGTGGCACCAACGGTGGGGCCAGCACCAGCATTCTAGATGGGCCCAGCACCAGCTCCACCATCCGGACCAGAAATGCCGCCAGAACGAGTGCCAACTTCTTCTCCTGGATCCAGTGAGATTTGCAGTGGATACCTGAAACTCCGAGGGAGGGGCTGTGAGAAGTCAAGTCGGGGGCAGGCCCGGGTGGTGCAGTGGGGGAACAAGGAGTTGTGAGAGACACTTGTTTGTTTCTTCGTGTCCCCTTGCCCCCCCCCCCCGTCTCATGTCTGTTCATAGTTCTGCTTTTGTGTCTTGTGTTACAGACAACGCTGATGAACCGCGGCTGTCCCTCATCAAGCCAGAGTGCCTCCTCGGATCCCTCCTTCACACAGCACTCTAGGCAGCTTCTACCTGCCCATCCAAGATGGCATGCAAGATGAAGCTCCCTTTGCCCTTCCTGCTTTTGTTGTGTGCTTTTGTTGTGCGCTTTTGTCGTGTTTTCATGTTTTTGGTATCAGTGTTACAGTAAAGTTGCAAAATTACTTGGGACGTTTCCTCCTTTATTTGCGCACGTACCTGTGCACGTGGTGCTCTGAGCGGCACGTGGCTGGGGGCTCCGACATAGACACTGCCCGCCTCTGCCTGGAAGGCAGCAGGTGTGGGGAGGGCGCCGAGAAGATGTGGAGATGCCAGCTGAGTGTCTAGGCCATGAGTTTCGAGAGGCTCCTGTCCACATAGTGACGTGATTTCCTCCACGGTACAACCCCAGTTAAGACGCCAGTGGTGGGGGCGGTGGCAGGAAAAGGGATGGCGTGGAAGGCTGTGGGTTGGTGCCACCGTCCCTCCCACCAAGGAACAGGGTCCACAGACATCCACCAAGACCCACCTCCTCCACCCCATCTTTGGAGGCGCCATCTTGGAACCCTTCCCTCCTCCTCCACACAACTTCAGCACCTCATCCCTCCCTCACATGGACCCTCAAGGACAATGAGATAGGCCTCGGCGACATCTCACCCCTCCAGCAGGTTGAAGGAGGAGCCATTATTGCCCTCAGAGTAGGTTCGATGAAAACAGACCTCGACAGCCTGTGACCCTGACCCGAGGCCTGCTGGTGGGCTCCGGAGCTCTTCTTCACTGGAAACAGGGCCCTCCCAGTGAAGCCAAGGCCAGGCCTATGTCCTGGTGTCTTCAAGGGCTGGGTGGTCCCTGCAGGAGTGCGGCTGGGACTGCAATCCCTCCAGTGGACGGCAGTGAGAGCAGAGACGCCTGGGAAGGGCTCAGTGGCAGGCTGGGACAGTGTCCGGAGCTCTGTCGGCTCCCTGTGATGTCCACACTTGGGCGGACGAGGCCCCAGGTTAAGAAGTAGGAGTGACTCGGGTAAGGGCCCCCGCACCCCATTGCCTCTTTTCCCCAAGAAGAGGTTCCCTTCTCTCCCCCAGACTGGGCTCCTGACCCAGATCCAGGCCCATGATTTCACAGGCCCAGTGAAGAATGAAAAACGTGGGCCCCCTTGCTCAAAAATGATGAAGAATTCCGAGAGAGCGACGGCTTGGGCTTGAGCTAGGTGTGCAGCCCCTCCGCGCACAGGGTCCTGTGGGGCTGCATAGGTGATACCCCCAGGAAGCTAAGCTGTGTAAGCTTTCCTCCCCCTAAAGTCGGGCTTCAGGTGGATTTCTGCCTTGCTGGCCACTGCTGTGGTTTCTGCCTGCCCGGCGGCTGGGTCCCTGCTTGGCCACGAGGACACTGTGATTCCGACAGAATTTGAGTCCCCTCCTCTTTGGCTTTACTGACGCACGGTCTGGGATGTGAGAGGGATGAAGGATGCCTGGGAGCCCAGTCCTGGGGTGATGAATGATTCGAGACTTTTCTGGTCCTCTCACCCTGGGACCCTCCCAGGACCCTGCTGGTGCACACAGCAGGCACATGCCTTTCCATAGATGAGGGTGCAGGCACTCACCCAAGGCCACGGGCAGGAGTTTGAGCACTGGGTGCAGAGGACACCTGAGATACGGCATCTCATCTGGAAAGGAGGAGAAAGCAGCTCTCAGAGACAGGCAGGGTGCTGGGGACAGTGCCACCTCCCCAGGCCGGTGGGCTTGCACCACTCCCCTCTTCCATCCTCCTTTTCCCTGGCTGGCCTCTCCTGGTGGGGGTCGGGGGGCGGGTTTCCCCAGAGCCGCACTCTGCACTACTCAACGGGTAGTTGAGAGCAGGGTGGGCGGGGAGGAAGAAAGCAGTGGGGTGGCCTCTGGGACAGGGAGGAAGGAGCGCCTAGGGGAATGCTGACAGACTGACTGGCAGGCAGGTCAGCTGGGAGGCTCTCCACCTGCTCCCTCACAGGGCAAACGTGACACCAAGGCAGGGGTCCTTCCTGGGACCCCAACCCAAGACCCTTCAAGGCTAAATGCATGCTCTGCCCACTGCAGCCGGCTCCCACTGCCTCGGAGGGGCTCACAGTGTCGTGGGAGCAACACCCCCATCTCTCACCACTCTCCAACAATAGCCACCCTCTCCCAGCCAGGCTGCCCTTACCACTTCCCAGCTCCCTTCACTGGGCCAGGTCCAAACCCCTCATGGCTTCCCTGCCCCCGAGGCTCCTCCTGGGCTTTCAAGGCTCCTACCACCCTCCCAGCCTCCTAAGACATCAGCTTTGGCAATATCCTGGGCATCCATCCCGCTCCTCCTCCTCCTCGTCTTTGTCATCGTCATGGTCAGGCCCTGGGGCCCGGTGCTCTGGGTGCAAGACCTCATCCCGTCCTCGCTGATACTCTGCGGGGGCTACTGTTCCCCATGGCACACGTGACAAAATGGACCCAGAGGAGGGAAGTGACTTGCCTGAGGTCTCTGTCCTAGCTCTGCCACCACCTGGGCAAGTGACCTTGGCCCAGCCTTTTCTCCCTCTGGCCCTCAGAGTTCCCACCTGTCACAGCACAGGATTGGGCTAGATAGATGTACTCTGAGGGTGCCCCAGCTCTGAGGTCCTGTGGGTCTGCTTTCCCAGTCTTGAGGCATCTCTCTGGGCCTCAAGTTTCCTCACTGAGTAATAGGGGTAAGAGCATGTGCCCAGCACTGCCTGGCCCAGCTCCCAGGGCGGCTGGGCACAGCTGGCGTGGCCTGCGCATGAAAGAAAGTAGGAAGTGGGTAAAGCAGTGGGAGAATGACAGGTGAATGTGCTCCTCCCCCACTCTATGAGTGTCTGAGGTGGGGGTCCTGTGAAAAGCACCTGAGACTGACACCCCTCCCTGGCCCTCTGAGCCCCGTGACCTCGGGCAGGTCACTTCACCTCTCAGAGCCTCCATCCCGTCATCTGCACAGTTAAGGTTACTTACACTGCTTGCCTCATGGTCCCAAAGACAGTACCGAGCAGTAGAGATTGGAAGTTACCGGAAATCTAGTAGCACCCCAAACCCCATCCCCTTTTCCAGTGAGGAGACTGAGGACCAGGCAGAGGAAATGACTTGACCAATGTCAAGTTCTCAAGTTCCCCGGGTTTCAATTTGGGATGACTCCATATTACAAGTGCCCTTTATTTGGAAACCAACATCATAGAAATGATACAAACCCACGGGATATCGTACGCTTCAAATATGACTTTGAATGCTCCCCTCACAGCCTCACAGTTTCCCAGGATGCCAGCACTTCAGCATCCACGTCAGAAATGGGCTGTCACACCTGAAGGTGACACAACAGTCCCTTGCCAGGCTTCCTGCCTTGGTCTGTGGTTCAGCCAATACATGCAGTTCTATTTTGTGGTAGTTGACATGTCTACGGGTTGCAGAACTGCAGAAAGGAAAAGCAGCGTGCATACCCAATGACTACAGGAAAGAAGAAAATGACAAAGATGGTGGGGCTAGAGTTGAGGAGGATATGGAACAAAGCAACTCCGCTACAGTGTCCGTGGAAGTCTGAATTTGTACATGGCCTTGGAAAAACATTAGAGAATTACAGCATGTTGCTACCTCACGGTGCCTCGAGGGAGCAGAT